ATCCCAGATCTTTGGGTGTGAAACTTTTTCTTCGCGTGTGTCCCTTTGCGCCGTAACCATGGAAAATGTTCATCATTTAACGGGATGTTCGGGTCAATATTCACTGTGAATGGAGCAATTTCATCAAACTTTTCATAATCTTCTGACATGTATGTCTTGTCATCCACTCTCACGATGTTTCTCTTCCTAGAAAGAACTATGTGCCGCTTTGGCTCATCGTACGATGCATTCGCTTCCTTATCATTTCTTTTTCTTAGCTTGGTACACATGTCCTTCACATAGAAAACCTGTGCCACATCATTGGCTAGGACGAATGGTTCGTCTGCATACGCAAGATTGTTGAGATCCAGTGTTGTCATTCCGTACTGCGGGTCTTCCGTTACCCCGCCTCGTGTCATATTGACCCATTTGCACCGAAACAAAGGGACCTTCAAACCACGTCGATAGTCAAGTTCCCATATGTCCTGTATATAACCATAATATGTTTCCTTTCCTGTCTTGGTTTCTGCATCAAAGCGGACACCACTATTTTGGTTGGTACTCTTCTTATCTTGGGCGATCGTATAAAATGTATTACCATTTATCTCGTACCCTTTGAAAGTCATTATATTCGAAGATGGTAACTGGGACAACAAGTACATGTCATCTTCAATAGAGGTGTCATGCATGGTATGTGTCTGCAACCAGCTAGCGAAACTCCTGGTTTGTTCATGTGTAATCCAGTCATTAGACCGCTTCGGGTGTTTGGAGCGTAGCAAATTCTTGTATTCATCCATATACGGAGCCATCAAGGCGGAATTCTGTAGAACTGTATAGCGTGCTTCAGTGAGAGAATGTTCGTCCATACATATTATTTGTTCCCCTCCTAGCGTGCCTTTTCCATCCAGTCTGCCCTTATGCTGCGATTCAGGAACACCAATCGGCTTAAGGTCAGGAATGAAGTCAATACAAAACTCAATGACCTCCTCATTTTCATGGCCCTTGGAGATGCTTCCTTCTGGCCTAGCACGGTTAGGAACATATTTCTTTAAGACTCCCATGAACCTCTCAAAAGGGAACATATTGTGTAGAAATACAGGACCCAAAACGTTAATCTCTTTGCATAGGTGAACTAGGACGTGCGTCATGATGTTGAAGAAGGATGGTGGGAACACCAACTCGAAACTGCACCAAATCATTCTCTAACCTTGGTATGATTTCTGGATCGATTACCTTCTGAGAGATTGCATTGAGAAATGCAGATAGATTCACAATGGCTAATCGGACGTTTTCCGGTAGAAGCCCCCTCAATGCAACCGGAAGCAGTTGCGTCATAATCACGTGGCAGTCATGAGACTTTAGGTTCTGGAACTTTTTCTCTGCCATGTTTATTATTCCCTTTATATTTGACGAGAAGCCAGACGCTACCTTAATACTAAGCAGGCATTCAAAGAAGATTTCCTTCTCTTCTTTGGTAAGAACATAGCTTGCATGACCCTGATGTATGCCGTCTTTTCCGTGCATACGTTGCTGGTCCTCCCGTGCCTCAGGTGTATCTTTTGTCTTCCCATACACGCCCAAGAAGCCAAGCAGGGTCACACAAAGATTCTTTGTCACGTGCATCACGTCGATTGCGGAGCGGACCTCTAGGTCTTTCCAATAGGGCAGGTACCAAAATATAGATTTCTTCTTCCACATGGGTGCGCGTCCGTTAGCGTCATTCGGAACAGGTTGTCCACCAGGACCCTTTCCAAAGACCACCTTCAAATCCTTGACCATATCATGTACATCAGCACTAGTATGGTGGCAAGGCTTCGTCCGGTGATCCGCCTCACCTTTGAAATGCTTGCCTTTCTTTCTTACGGGATGCCTGCTCGGAAGAAATCGACGATGTCCTAGGTACACATTCTTCTTACAATTAGCCAAATATATACTGTCGGTATCGTCCAAACAGTGCGTGCATGCGCGGTATCCCTTGTTTGTCTGTCCTGAAAGGTTACTGAGAGCAGACCAATCATTGATGGTCACGAACAGCAACACCTTTATGTCAAATTCTTCCCCCATGTGCTCATCCCACGCACGTACACCTGTTCCATTCAACAGTTGTAAGAGTTCTTCAACTAATGGCCTTAGATACACATCAATGTCGTTGCCGGGTTGCTTAGGGCCTTGGATGAGCACTCGCATCATAATGAACTTCCGCTTCATGCATAACCAAGGAGGAAGGTTATACAAACATAGAGTCACAGGCCAGGTGCTATGGTTGCTGCTCTGCTCCCCAAAAGGATTAATGCCATCTGCGCTTAGACCAAACCATACGTTCCTTGCGTCATCTGCAAACTCCTTCCCGTACTTTCTTTCGATTTTTCTCCACTGCGACCCGTCAGCGGGTACTCTCAACTTTCCGTCTTTCTTACGGTCTTCTCTGTGCCATCGCATCGCCTTGGCATGCTCTTTGTTTTGGAACAAACATTTCAACCATGGTATTATAGGAGCATACCACATCACCTTGGCAGGAATCTTCTTCCTGGGGCGCTCGCCCTCGACATCACCGGGGTCATCGCGGCTGATCTTATAGCGCAATGCACCACATACCGGGCAAGCGTTCAAATCCTCATACTCACGGCGGTAGAGGATGCAATCATTAGGGCATGCATGTATCTTCTGCACCTCTAACCCTAGAGGGCAGACAACCTTCTTTGCTTGGTACGTACTCTCAGGCAATTCGTTGTCCTTTGGAAGCATATCATTTATCATTACCAGCAACTTTCCAAATCCCTTGTCAGATACACCATTCTCTGCCTTCCGTTGCAGTAATTCCAGTGTGGTGCCCAACTTTTTCTTGTCACCTTCGCAATTCGGGTACAACAATTTTTTGTGATCCTCTAACATGCGCTGCAACTTCTTCTTCTCTAAATCACTTGCGCAGTTTCTCTTTGCCGACCTAGATTATCAACGGGCTCATCCGATGCCTCTTCTTCAGCTTCTTCCCGCATTGCCGGCTCAGCTTCTTCCCGCATTACCAGCTCAGCTTCTTCCCTCATTGTTGTATCATCGTATTCAGGGAACCCATGGCCAGGATAGCTGTCGTCGTCCTCTTCTTCTTCATTGTCTTCCATCATAACCCCTCTTTCTCCATGCTTGGTCCAAACATTATAGTGGGGCATGAAACTGGACTCAAACAGGTGGACGTGAATGGTTCTTGACGTAGAGTAATTGCGACCATTCTTACAGCCAGCACATGGACAATGCATAAAACCATCCGCTCGCTTGTTTGCCTCAGCCGCAAGCAGAAAAGTACACACGCCATTAATGAATTCGGGAGAGCATCGGTCATCGTACATCCATTGCCGGCTCATCTTCAATACACAGCACCGAGAACATCAAATTAATACAATACATAAAGTTCATACATAAAGTTCATACATAAAAAGCATACAACACTTCAATGCAACAAACAAATAACTCTCTAGCTAAAGAATTTAAATGCAACAACAAATGCGATCAAGATCGCAACTAAGGTAACAATTGATCCAACAGCATAATGATACCAAGCCTCACTATGAATGGCATATTTTCTAATCTTTCTAATCTTCAAGCGCATTTTCTCCATCTTAATCTTGTGATCATCGACGACATCGGCAACATGCAACTCCAATTCCATCTTCTTCCCCTCAATTCTTTTCAATTTTTCCTTCAAATTCTCATTTTCTCTTTCAACTAAATTTAACCTCTCGACAATAGGGTCGGTTGGAATTTCGGGTTCAACTACCTCCTACATACAAATATCTATGTTAACTTGATGGGCATAATTTGTCATAAACACGAAATGCAATGAATAGTTTTAAAAGAGAATATACCACATCCGAATCATAACCCGGACAAGGGCCGACGGGGACGGATATCAAAACCATGGCACCATGCATAACAAACAACGTATGGGTAAGATAATTATACGAGTAACTATATATCCAAATCACACAAACATCATTTTTTTTATATAAAACTTCATGAACAAGAGGCTCACCACAAGGTGGTGCCGGCGACGGGACGTTGCGAGCGATCGACGTTGGTTACGACGGAGATTTAGAAGGTACTAAGTAAACCACACCTACATATGCAAAACTAAGTGTTATTTTTGACCTCAAATTGCATATAAATCAAATACTAGCACATATATATAATTCCTCCCAAATTAATAAACTCAAAAATCAATCACTATATAAAGCATTGCACGAGCTAATCTAGCAATGAGAGATGAAAGGAAAGAGTTGCTAACCTTTGTGGTCATTTGAATGGATGGGGGCCTTCAAATCTTGGGCAAAATGTGTGATGAGCTTGAGAGGAAGAGGGGAAAGAACAGAGAGGAGGGGGGAAAGGGGAAGAACAGAGCGAGCTCGGGTGGACGAAGGGTCTATGTAGGATGACCTTTAGTATCGGTTCGTGATACGACCCGGTACTAAAGGTGCTGGAGGGGCCCCGGGCTGATAACATCCTGCCACCACTCACTTTAGTACCGGTTCGTGGCACGAACCGGTGCTAAAGGTTCGCCACGAACCGGTACTAATGAGAGTGGCCCGACTAGCCATTGGAACCGGCACTAATGTACACATTAGTGCCGGCTCAAATTCAAACCGGCACTAATGTGCTTCACGTTTGACCCTTTTTCTACTAGTGATTGTGACCAAGTTTATACAAAAAATGATTAACATCCACAATACCAAATCAATACCATTAGAATTATGATTCAATATATTTTCATGCTATACATATGTGTTATTGTGAAAGCTTAGATTGTTTGACTTAGGTCAAAACTAATATGCGGAGTAAATAAAGACAAAGGAAGGAAGTACTAAAACAATTCTTGATGCCACCGGTGGGGATCCCCAAATTTGATCTGTATTCATGAATGGCACGATAAATTCTTTTGTATTGCCATCTACGCTTGTACAATTGTCCTCTTGTCAAATTGATTCACCAATGAGAAGATTGGCGCGTCCCGGCGTCTGAATTACGTGAGCTCATGAGACGATGTGCTGTAGCACTCGCGGCACCGGTGGCACGTGGACATGGACCATGCCCTCCAACACCTGCACGACCTGCGCCATGGTGGGCCGCAACGCCTCCTCGTCCTGGATGCACCAGCACGCCACCCTGCATGCCCGCTCCAGCTCCTCTAGCCTCACTTGGCCGCGCAGCCGCGGGTCAGCCAACTCGCCCACCTTCCTTTCAACAATCTTTCCTGTAGCCCACACCGGGAAGAAGGTCCACGAATCACTACTCCCGCTCCCTGCTGCCTCCACCTCGCTGTATCCCTCAGAGTTTCGTCGTCCCGGGATGAGCTCAAAGAGCACCATACCAAAGCTGTAGACGTCTGCCTTGGCACTGATAGGGTGCCCAGAGATCCATTCCAGCGCCAGGTACCCTATGGTGCCCCGCATCATTGTCAGCGCGCGGCTGAAGTCCCTCCCAACCAGCTTTGCCATCCCAAAATCGGCGATTCTCGGGGACATGTCCTCATCTAGAAGGATGTTCTCCGGCTTGATGTCACAGTGTATGATGCACTCGTGGCAGCGAAGGTGCAGGTACGCCAGCCCTCTCGCCACACCGACCATGATGCAGTACCGGTCGCACCAGCTCAGGCATGCACCGTTGCGGAAGAGGAGGCCGGCGAGGGAGCCTATGGGCATGTACTCGTAGACAAGCATCTTCTCGTTGCCGGATTAGGAGAACCCAAGGAGTCGGACGAGGTTCACGTGCTGGATGCAGCCTAGCGTGCTCACCTCTGTCCAGAACTGCTTGTCTACCTGTCCAAGACTTTCTAGCTTCTTGACTGCCACATTGACATGTGTCGTATTGTGTCCCTTTTGTTTTTTTATGATACCAAGGTACACTGATCCGAAGCCACCGCCACCCAGCCGCTCCGAGAAGTTCTTCGTGGTAGCACGGAGTTCACTGTAACTGTACACGGCCAAGGAGCATCCGATCTTGTTTGCTGTACTGGCCACTTTCCTGCGGGAAAGAAGAATCCTCCAGGCTAGTATGGAGGATGCACCCAATGCTACAACACTAGACAATGTGATGCCAAGGGCAACCCATAACTTATTCCCCCCTTTCTTCATGTCTACGTTGCGGAGATCTTGCAATCCTCTTTCTGAAAGCCGGAGATACAGTTCTGACCCGGGGCTACCAGAGTCTGCATAGAGTCCCTGAAGATTGCGGAGCTCTCCATGCCAGATGGTGCACTCCCCAGCGGAGAAGGCGTAGGCCTAGCAAGAGCAGTTCTTTAGGCAAGCCAATCCACACTCTACTTTGCTCTGGGCAGCGCCTAGGACAATTGATTCATCGGGGAGATTCATGTTTGGCAGCGCAAAGAACCCGTCCGTTGTCGACCCGTTGCGTGCGCACGTGAGCGGTGAGCTCCGGCGGCACCCACCACTCCAGTCATTGAGTATCCAGTCCCCCTTCGATACCGGAGCGAACCCAGGCGAGCACCGGCACGGCAGCCGGTTCTTCTAGTCGCAGACGCCAAACGCGCCGCAGAGCGCATACACGTCGCACTGCGAGGTGGGCGCGGTCCACAATAGTTGCCAGCTCTGGCTCGCGGGCATCCAGATGTATATATTCGTCTGGCCAGAGACCTCGAGCACCACGCGTGTGATGGTTGCATTGTCATAGAGGACATTGGTGAGGCGCCGGTAAGCCGGCGTCTCAACGTATGTTACATTGTAGAGGAAGTTCCTCGCCGCCTCTGGTAGCTTTGCAAAGACCCGCCCCATCCAAACGCCGGTCCGCCAATACACGCGGGACCGGTTCCATAGATAGAAGAACTCGCTGCTGCCGCTGGGGTCAATCATGTCCGTGAACATTCCCGGCGCGGGGTCTTGGGCGTTCCGCCAGAATGTCAGCGCCTGGTACTTGCCGGTGAGCTTGTTCTCCCCGAGCCAGGCGTCCGGCACTTGCGTGTCCGTCGGATGGTCAAAACTCTGCCACAACATGTTGGAGGAGTTGCCACCATCCACAAGGACCATGTTGCCATTGTCGCGGATCTCCGCCGTGTTGTTCGAGCCTGGTGACGATGAAGACAGGTTCGATGACCACACGACCACCGGCGATCCGGAGGCAGAGGTGGGACCGACAAGCTCGAGGTTGCCATCGGCGTCGGACACCCGGAGCTCCACGGAGATGAGGCCAGACAGAGGACTCGCGCGGTTGCCGACCCAGATGATGGTCTGTCCAGGGATGTTCTTGTACCAGATCCCGATGTAGAACCTGCCGTCGGAGCTGCCAGCAGGGCTGAACAGGCCGAGCTCGAACTTGCCCTGTGGCGAGACCACCGTGTCGTTGCCCCGCAGCGGACGCCGCGCCGAGACTGCAGTTGTGAAGCAAAAAATCAAGGGCTACGAAGCTGGCCATGATGATCAGTGACATGGTGGTGCCGTTACGTTTGCCGGCGAATTCTCTATGGAGCTTGCATGCAGGTGGGAACACAGAGACGGCGGGTAGGAGGAAGTATGATCCGAAACTACTTTGGCCACGATAGTGCTTGGCCTGGCCGACATATTAATAACCTATGACGACTTCTACTTTTCGTGCGTACAATTCACACTATAGTTAAAAAATTGCATAGACAAACAAGAAATCTAGCTATTTCCGCTCCCGACCTGCCCCAACCCATCGCCCACTGGCCCATACCGGCGGCTTTCACTCCGGCGCCGCCGGCCACCGCACAGCCCCAGCCGCTCTCCTACCTGGCCTGCCTTGCCGGTCCGTCCCAGCCACTTCCTTGGGGCTTCCCTGACCCACATCGCTCTTCGCGGCCGGCTCCGCGGGAATCTGATCCAGATCCAGATTGGGGCACTCCTCCGCCTCCGCCTCCTGGTCGCCCTTCCGGCGAGGACTCTGAGGTGGACTGCGTCCTGGAGACCCCGCCCGAGCTCCTTCCCCGTGCGCCCCCAACCACCGTCTTCAATGCTCCTGCTTCAGGCCGTTCCCCCATCCCGTCGTGCATTGATGGTATTAATGGCGGAGACCGTTCGGGATGGCTTGCGTGCTTTCGGCCCGCCCCTGCGCAGGCCGCGGCTGAGCAATCACTCCCGCGCGGCGCGGCGACTGTGGGGCTCGAGGATGAGGTGACGACGCCATGGATCGAGGTCAGGCATGGGCGGCCGCGCCCTGCGTCGGCCCCTGTTACTGCCTTCACTCCCCGCGCCCCTCCTCCCGCTTGGATAAAAGGCCTCTGCTTCCACTGTCTCAAGCCTCGACATCGCGCCGTCGACTGCCGCGACCCTATCACCTGCAGACGGTGCTTCCGCTCCGGCCACATAGCGCGTAGCTGCACCCACGCTCCGCGCCCGCACCTGCGCCCCGGTGCTCCCTCGCCCGCTCTGCGTCGAGCTCCTCCTCTCGCGCCTGCTCGTATCCGCCTGCCGGCACCCACGCCCGTGCCTCCCCAAGCTAACATGGCTTCCTCCTCCGCTGCTTCTTCGGCCTGGGCTGGTGACCACAACGCCCGCCCGGAGGTGTTCGCCTTCATCCACAACACCCCGGCCATGCAAGTGGAGGCGGCGCTCCTGGAATCCAACGGGGTGGTGGCCTGGTTCGACCGCGACCGCCGTGCCTCCACCAACGAGGTTGCTGCGGTCATTGCAGACGAGGTTGGCGCCTTGGCGCCGGATGTCATCGTCGTCTTCCACTTCCCCGAGCGGTTCCTGGTGCGTTTCATCCACAAGCATCACGCTGACATCGCCACATCCCGCCCGGAGCTCCCGTTCGGCGACACCAAGCTTCAGATGCGAGCCTGGCGCCTGGAAGCCCATGCAGAGCATGTCGACCTCCGCCACCACGTGCGCCTCTGCCTCGAGGGGCTGCTGCTGTACACTTGGGACGAGAAGGCGGTTGCCAAGGCCGTCGGCTCTGGCTGCTCGCTGGACTACATCGAGCCGGCATCCAAGATCAAGTCGGTGACCGATGTGCTGGCATTGTGGGCGTGGACGCCATGCCGAAGCAGGGTGCCAAGGGTGAGCTGGGTCACTTTCCCCGTCCGCAATGGTGGCGCCCCGGTGTACGGGCGCAAGGGGCTGGAGCATCATGTCCTAGTCCACCTCGACATCCATGAAGATCCATCCTCTGGCAAAGTGGTGTCCAGGCCTAACCCGTGGAAATCAAACATCATGGATGGGGAGACGATGCCGCGTGACAGGCGCGAGCGCATCTCTCGTCCTATTCAGCGCGGCCGCCAAGACCGCAGGGACCGGGACGACGAAGGGGACCGTGGCCGGGGGCGCGACGACCGGGGCACGTCCAGAGGCGGGCAAGGCTGGGGCGAGCGCATCCGCCGGAGCCTCTCCCGTGCTCCGCGTGAGGAGCAGCGTGACACCGGCAGAGAACGCCGGGATGGGCGTCAGGGGAGCCGCGATGGTCGCCGCCGCGGCAACTCTGGGCTGCCCGCTGTCCAGGGCGCTGTTCCGGTGCCTCTCGGCTCTGGCCCCATGTGCGTTCCTCCCATGCATGTTGGGGAGCTTGAGCCTGCTTCAGATGCTGTTGGTGCTCGGGGCCGTAGCCCGGTCAGGCAGTAGCGGCCGGCCTCTGCCAGGCACATATCTAGGGACGCACGCACCCTCCCGGCATCACCACCCCTTTCTCCTACAACGGTGCTCCGAACCCCGCCGACCTCCAAGCGTGACGAAGCTCATGCTGCTGCGGCGGCCTCCCAAAACCTGAGTCCGGCGCTCATCGAGCTTTGTTCGCCGACCATGATGCAGCGACCTCTTCTGGACATGTCCCCGATGCGCCCCCCAGGCTTTGAAGCCTCGCCCACTCCGCCTCTCCAGTGCAACGGCAACCTGCAGCGAACCCCTTCGCCAACCCGTGCTTGCCTTGTTGATGCTGGACATGACCTGCCCGCTGGCTTGGCGGAGCTCGTTGTGCCCTGTCTAGAGCTTCCAGCAACGCTCTTCTGCTCAAAACAGCCGGCGCTCCTGCCGCTCACATCTGTGCAACCTTCTGAAGCACCCATGGCATCACCGAGGCCAAGCCCTCCAGCATCCCGTCGGAAGACCTTGGCAGGCATGAGGATCTCCAAGGAAGGCGAGATCTCTCTGCAACAGATCAGGCGCCCTTCCAACCGCACGCCGGCTGCCCCGGTTGCAAAGGTGGCTGAGCGCCTTGTTTTCGCAGCCTGGGCATAACCAAAGATGGTGAAGATGTCACCGCTTCGACCCTGAATGTGTTCACAGAGAGATTCAAGGAGCAGCTCCCCCCTGAAGTGATTGTGGCCATGAGGGATTTTTTCAAGCTTGACGATAGTGCTATTGCTGCTGTCGAGGACGCGCTGATAGACCACGGTGGTGCAGCGGCTATGGACTCTGTGTGGCTGGAACAAGATGGCCAGGGATCGCAGCCGGCGATCGCCTGAGTAGGCAGTCCCTGGGTTAGGGCCTTCATGTTTGTTATGTTAGTACGCCATCCTGATGCTTTCGAGGGGATTGCACTTGCTACTAGTTTGCACGTATCCAGTTCGTGCATAGGTTTTAGTTACTTTGGGTCTTGTAGATGGGACTGTGTTCCCATTGTGTGTGTGTTGGTGTTTAGTCAGGTTCGGCCGTGGGCCATGTACCTATGACTTGGATCCCCTCCTGGTTGTATTATTGTTATTCCTTATGTTAGTCAAAGGGCATCTGCTGTGAACCCATGACAGAACAGCCTA